ATTTTTACATCTTTTATTTGTTTTACGATTTAGAAATGACTACTATAACCACCCTTCATTGTACATAAGTGGTGTCCAAAATTTTCAGTAAAATGCAACTAAAGTCATACTGAGCCTAAGGAAGTCTGGGTTCAAAAACCCGTTTGACAGCTGCAATTTGGCACCAGCTGGTGGCAGGAATCAATTCCAGATTAAATATCAACGAGGATGATCCTGGGGTCTCTTCGTGATGGGAATTTTTAGAAGCCTGGCCGCAGTTCCGGGAATCCCTCCATAATTTAGCACCGGTTTCATAATCTTGGCATCTTCAGACACTCAGGCAGCAGACTGGGTCCTAATAAACAGACACACCACCTCCACCTCCCCACCCCCTAAGTCAGGGATGCCTGGCCCCCTCTAACATTTACGCCTCTTTCTGATTTGTGGAGGGATGGGGAAGGGATATGAAAAATTTACCCAGCCTCATTTATTTCCACATTTACATTATCATAGGATACATCATTATGGTGTCTTACTGTACCTATGTGCTTATACTGACTGTCTGCAGTAGAAATAATAGAAAACTGAGACAAGGGAGATCATTAGAAAATATTAAAAATTCTTAAATGTTTATTTTTTTCTCCAGATAATAATTATTATTTTCTTTCCTTTTTCAATATAGAAAACAAAAGGTATAGGTTTTCATCCAGGATAGCCGACAATTTAAAGTCCATGGTTCAGTGTTAAAACACTCTTACCATGCACATTTATTCTAGTTAGAATACATGAACAAAAACAGCAAGGCACTATTGAGTAGTCTGACTTTTCTCATTAAATCAGTTTTTCAGAATTTTTGAATAAGCAAATTTTGCATCAGAGCCCCTTTTAATCTATCTTGATAATGAGGACAGAATCTCCGAAGTATTCCAAGATGCAATGATAGATATATTGTTTCCTCTACACAGCAAAAATACTGTGGAAATATACAACCATGCAAGCTTCTGATGCAAAGGGCAGTACAACCAGAGGAAGAGACAAAGAAAGACTAAACCAAGCCAGAGCCTTAAATTACGTTCATGATCCATCAAACGCATTTGGTCATTAAGACAGAATGCAGCTCCTCCACCTTTCACCTCTGAAAATCAGCGATTTCATCTCCAGGACGCACACCAAGTCATCACTTAGAACAGTGTTTGTCTTCATGAGTTATACCCAAAGCAAACACAGCCTGTTTTCCTATTCCCCGTATTCACAAATGTCTGTGCTACAATCAACAAGAACAATGCAATCCCGTGAAATGAATGACAGATGAAATGATTAAACACCTAATATCAGCTCCTATTATTTTTACTCATAAAACACAAAACTTTCAGTACTATAATTTTAAGTGACATTTGAAAGTATGACTTGGCAAAATGATTTTAAAAATCATAAAATGAAAGCTATATTGATGAACTAAATGAGCCTATTCACATTCAATAACATTCAACTTCACTAGAAAAATATCCACCTTCTAATTGACTTCTGTGAAACTATACTGAAAAGAGCTCTTCAAATGTTTTATTTACTGGCCAATTTCTAGATGTCTGTACTCAGCCTATTAGCTGGTGCTAATAAGCCCTACATAAAGTTCCTAGTTATTAAAATCCAAATTAGGCACCCCTTATGTTTATACATGTGTAGGGACAATTAATATTGCAGGCTTAGTTGGAAGCAAAATTGCTTTAGTTAACCAACCATTGCAATGCAATCAAATGAGATTTCAAATGCAATTGGAAAAGATCTGTTTGGTAGACATAATTGCATTTATTTCATTCACAGTTTTCGAAGCTTTTTTTTCCCCAGCTGTCCTTAATAAAATAATTTGTCAATCACAAGTGACATAAAATATCACTTGTAACACCCATAAGTGACCAGGAGACCTGAAAGGCAGCTGGTAGACACAGCTTATTTACAAATATTGGCTTGAACTTGTAAATGCATGACCACATAAATCTCAATCCATTTAGAGCGTAGACCCTTTGTTCCCTCCACTGTACATTCAGTTGGGAATTAAGGCAGAGCTGAGGGAAAGTGAGAATTACAGGACACCTTTTGTTGTTGCCAGCACATCCTGCCATGCCTTTTGTTCTTGTTGTTCATGAGATTTCTCTACATTACACAGTAGGGAATGTTAATCAACATTTTGCCTAAGTAATATTAATGAAACTTGCCCACTTGTACTTGAGGGAAGAAGTGGAATGTTATATTTCTTTTTGAAATGTTAATGTACCTTTTAGGAAATTATTTCTGCCTTCTAAATCATCTCAGTGCTAAATTATTAAAGGATGGCATTAAAGGACTACTGCACTGATACAAATAGTTAAATACCTTAAAAGATGAAAGGATTAAAAAGTTTAAAAGGAGGGCCTTGTGGGAGATGGTAGCACTTAACTTCAAATGTATGTTGAAAATACAGATTTAATCTGCAATTTTTTGTGCCTTCTCACAAAACAAGGAGAGATCTAATGTTGATGATTTTGTATTTCAAACCATGAATCTGACTTGTACTGTGGCATTAAAGATGTATTGAACTTATTTTTATGTAGCTATCTCTAAACTAAAGCACCATCTAGTTTATCAGGGGAAAAAACGGGACAAGTGCGTCTTACTTTTCACTTATCTGAGTCTTAAGGTTAGGTAACCTTCACTCAGCTTCTATTCTCTGAGCATAAAATGGTCCTTCAATCTCCATGTTCAATCACCACCTGGCATTTCAAAAGGCAGGCCTATTGTAAAGACTTGATGTCTGACCACCATGGTAAGATACGGAAAATACCAAGTCTCAGGGTATACACCTTGACAAGCATGTGTCCTGTGAATATCACCCACATTCCTTCAAGAGGACTACTCAGGAAGTGAGTTGACAAGGCTTGAAAGTGGCCTTGCTGGTCCTCCCTGTAACAGTCTCTTTTGACGTATCAATATGTGTGTAATTGCTAAATACCTTGTGAGGTCATCTAGGGGGAATCAGAAATAGAATTTGTTCAAGAGTTCTCCCACTCAGTGACCACTTTTTGCTAATAGTCCTAACACTCACTGAGTAAACTTTCTATTTTTTATGGAACTACATGAGTCTGAGTATATAGGCACTGAAAGTATGTAAATGAGGGTTTACATTTCATCGTAAATTGTTTTTTCACATTTTGACAACTTACAAGAACACAATTAAAATCACTGGCATCTCAGAGTTGAATTGGCTTCTTTTGCTTTAAAGAATGAAATAAATAAAATGACACGGTGCCTAACAATTGACGATGGCTTGGATTCAATAAAATATGTTAATAGCCAACATGTGTTGAGTCTTTTTGTGTTACACATTAGGGTTACCCATTACATGCAGCAGGCAAAAAGGCATTAGCAAAATGCTAATGTAGTGTTAGCCCAAAGTTAAGGCATTTACTGTACACCTGGGGAAGGAAACTTTCTATGCAGAAAGCAATAGTCAAATGAAACATCAATAACATAAAAGCCATTACTGAAACCCTCCTTGTTATGTTATTCTTTCTAGATCATTATGCCTTTGAAAACAGAAATATATATATACAATTTAGTAAATGATTAATTAAAATACTACCAAATTATTTTAATGTAGATAGAAAACAGTTTTTTGACCAGCACATGTATAATCTATACGTTACAAAGGCTAATTTTGTGTGACCTTAGTGAGCCTTTAAGTTCTCCAATTTACTCAGGACTTAAATTAAAATAGTGCCAAGGGCACTATACAATACTAGGCAGACTATATTGCCTAACTTTACATACATTATACTTTACACTGCTTTTGCCATGCCAGTTGTTCTTATTGCGAGTCACTTCCATTTAATATTAGTATATTTTTAGTATATTTTGGTGTAAAATTATTTTGAAATCTAGGCAAAGTTTTCCCATGAAACACATTTTCCATTGAATTTTGAAGACCAAGTATACCTATCATTTGAGAATGTTTCTGCACCAAAAACTTATCTTTTATTTCCATTTTCCATTAGCTTTTTCAGGTACCCTTCTAATATCACTTAATGTTTTTTTACTTTGATACACAACAAAACCATAAACACACAGAGTAACGTGCAGATTTCCTAAACCTTAGTTTAGCGTTCCATGGAAGCACAACTTTCCTAGCTCCAAACATGAGACTTTGGTTTTACAAAATATTGAACAGCACAATCTCTCACCTTCTAATTCTATTTTAAACATGGGTGCTACAATCCCATAAAGAGTTGTCTAAAATTGGTCTGTGATGAGGAACTGAAGAGATTTTTCACTATCAATCAAATAAATTCAAATCTCGGAGCAGAAGTATTTGGCCAAGTCGGGAAAAGAGACTTTCTTTTGCTCCTCATCTGTAGAAGGGTGCAGAGTTGAGACTGACCTCATGACAAAGGGTCTTCTCTGGCATTTGCACAATTAAATGAGGGACTCTTGGAGCACAAAATAAGTTTACAGAAAAAAATAACACATGCAAAAGCTGAAGTCAGCCAGCCTTTCTAAAATTAGGCCAGAAATGAAGACAGATTACTGCTAGCTAACGTGAAGCAAATTAAATTTGAGCAGGTTTAATATATTCAGTCTCACTTTAATCACAGGACCTACCATCAAGGTGATTATAACAGGCAAACCTCCTAGCAGTTACATACAGCATGTTTTTCAACAGTGGATTCGTAGTATCTCGAAAGACAATTCAGATACTGTCACTTAGGACTACCTTTAGTGAAACTTTTAATACCTTTAAATATACAAAAACTTTTCAAGAGGCTTTTAAATTTGCTTTATAAAACACAGAACATGAACAAGAACATTTCTGAGTCACTTAACAGGCATTAGTAACTCAAAAACAAATTTTTTTTAAAGCAACAAAGTACAGCTGTTTTTTTTTTCCGTCTCTCAAGACCCTAAGATCTCACTATAAAGATTGTAATGTAATCAGAATGAGCCAAATTCATGATGTCAATCTACTTAAAAGTGATTAAAAGAGTTCTTACTGCAAAATCTTCCCTCCATTGGTGGGCTGCTTGAACTTTCTCTGCTTCCAAAGCCAGGCGCTGAAAAACAACAAGAAAAATAAATGTTGGAATTCACATGACCACATGCACTTGTGATTGTTACATAGAATGCTTGGGTTTTCTAATCAATTTTGGGGACACAAAAAAGACACAAGACTCCATATTTACAATTCATAAATTCTAAATTGTCATTTAACAACTTGATGCATGAGTATAGACTCTTTGGCAATATAAATAATACATCATTTTGAGCATCACTGGGTTCCGTGCCTCCACGTCATTAAGAGTAGCATTCTCATTATGGTGCAGCGGGTAAAGGTGCCACCTGTGACTCCTGCATCCCACATAGGTGCAGGTTCAAGTCCCAGCTGGTTCCACTTCCAATCTAGCTCCCTGCTAATGGCCTGGGAAAAGCAGTGGAAGACAGCCCAAGTGCTTGGGTGACTACACCCATTTGGGAGACCCAGATGAGGCTCTTGCCTTCAGCCTGGCCCAGCCCTGGCCACAGAAGCCATCTGGGGAGTGAATCAGTGGATGGAAGATCTCTCTCTCTCCTCTAGCTTCTCTCTGTAACTCTGATTTTTAAATAAATAAATATTTTTTAAAAGTATCCTCAAATTACTAATATTTTGATTATTAGAAAAAAATTTAGTAAATATTAATTTGGATTAAAAAGTTTGTTGGAAAATACACTTAAAGAACTTTATAGCATATATTTCTATTAGTGGACAGGAAATGACACTGAAAGACTCATAAATGTGTGCTGAGCACTATATTAGGCACCTTTTTAATATAACTAGCTAGTTTTCACAAAAAGCCACAAAAATGTAATAATTTCCTCTTTTCTGCAATACTTTTTTTTTTCCTTAAGAAGTAGAGAACCAACTGAGCAATTACAGTTCCCTGCAGTGGCCAGGGCTGAAGCCAGGACCTAAGAACACAATCTAGCTCCCCACTGGGATGGCAGGAACCCAATTTCTCAAGCCATTGTCTTTGCTTTCCAGGGTCATCACTGGCAGGAAGCTGAAGACAGGGACCAGGAACTGGGACTCAAACCCATGTACTCAGATATAGTACGTGAGTATCTTAATCGCTAGATTAACTGTCTGGCCCTGCAGTCCATTCTTAATAGTCCTTTCAGAGATTTACCTGAGAGAGAATAAACTGAGTCCCCCCATCTCAGAATAGCTTTATGTCAGCATCACTCTCAACTACTAAAGTACTCAGAGAATTCCACGATGACCTATTTGTCCTTAACACCTTCAAAACTGTATTCCATTATGTTCTGTTGGAGATCATTTGTCTAGTGTCATCTAATGACTTTCTGTAGGCACTTGTGTTCCCTCTCCCCAGTAGTTTTTTTTTTTTCTATTTCCCAGTTTTACTACCATTTTTCCCATGTGATTAGCCTTCCCAGAAGGCAGTACCATGCAGTGATTCAGTCAGGAACCAAACCACTGGGTTGTAACTTCCAGCCCTTCCGCCCACCAGCTGTGCAACCTTGAGGACAGTTAAGTCTCTTATCAAATTTTCTCATGTGATCATGTGAAAACCTGCCTCAGAGGTTGGCCAAAAGATGAAATAAGCACTGAGAACAGTGCTGGGCAGAGAGAGAGCAAGGAGAGTTCTTAGCGTTCTGCTTGCCCCTGTGTCCCACTGAAGAGACAGCTCAGGACTGAGGTTACCTGTGACCTTCGCTACACAGTTGGGAGATGGTGGCAGAAACAGGCCAACGTAACAACAAATACAATAAATGTAAATGCACTACACTCACTTATTAAATAACGGGATTTATCTGGCTAGGCTTTAGAAAAGCTTAAATCTCATAGCAATTGGCAGGCTTATGTCACCTGTGATCAATCACGATTTCTCAGTATGTGCTCTCCCTAATGAAGCCTGGTCTACACTGGACAATGGAATCATTTCATTAGACCATTATCAGCACACTGGCTTCTATCCCAGGAGTATACTAATATAATCTATTCATTTTCTAAGCTAATATATAGGTATCACCAGTGACCTTATAGTATCTCCTAAAGGGACATCTCAGTTTAAGAATCCCCAAGATGGAATTTCAAGGAAAATACTTCACAGTCTGCTACTATGACAATGGTTTTGGCTATCAGCTGCTAGGCAAAAATGAAGAACAAGAGTTACTATTAACAACAATGTAGTGTATATTTTTCTTAGGAAAAAAAAAATTTTTTTCCACTTGCATTGTGGCACAGCAGGTTAAGCCTCTGCCTACAACTCTGGCATCCTATATGGGCACTGGTTTGAGTCCCAGCTGCTCCATGGCAGAGAGACTAGAAAAAGAGAGACAGAGACAGGACTCCCATCTGTTCCTTTACTCCCCCAGGGCCTGAAACAATCAACACTGGGCTGGGCTGAAGTCTGGGGCCAGGCACTCAATCTGGGTCTCCAAGAGGGGCAGCAGGGACCCAACCACTTGAGCCATCACTAGCTGCTTCCCACAGTGCTTATGACCAGAAAGCAGAGCCAGCACTCTAGGCACTTTGATTCACCAAACACATTTTAATCTGAAAAGCTTTTATGTTGTATATACCCACATTGGAAATTTACAAATACAATCATGAAAAATCGACTACTGTTATCATCTTTGTTCATTCCAAGAAAGGCATAATACTGAATTTTAGATATTTCATCTATTTTTGGAAAAACATAGTCACTGATGGTGCCCTTCCTTGGGCAAAAATCAGTTGGACCTCCCTTACAGGAAATTTACATGTCTTCTAGACACTTCAAGTCTCCACTTCTGGAACTTCCGGTTCCAGTCAAGTGACCTTTTATTTATAAAGCCAATAACCTACCATTAAATGCCATGGGTGAGCTGTGTTAAAACTGATCAAATCTCTGTCTAATAAAATGTGAGTATCCCTCTTTTCATAATTGGCTGTAGAAGTATACCCAATAAAAATAATTTCTGAAAAAGGATATTGTATTTTTCACATTTAAGTTACTGCACAGTACAACACAGTACCAAGCATTGTAACCAGGGAGAACACCAGACACAAAGAAAGAACCTCGCTCAGCAGGGATACCTATAGGAGAAATTTGAACCTTAATTTGCTCTTATTAAAATAAATAAGAAAGGCTCATTGAAAGCTTTATTAAAAATGAGGTAACACATGTATATATGGGAACACGTATATGTGGACAAAGGATATTTACAATGTGTTATCTGTTTTATGAATGCATAGCTCCCTACTTATGTGTTTAAATATAAAAACAGAAAATAATTTTAAAGATTGGAAGGACTCACAACTTTAACAAAATGAACAATCCTAACATTCTGCACATTCCTCAAGAAGACTCTTTAGTTTCCCATAACACCTACGAAATGTGTAATCACCCTGAACATGTTGTAGTATCAGAAACAAAACCCTGACAGAAATGTATTTCAGGTCAAAGGAAAACTTCCTAGCAAATTAATAAAAATCATGAAATATGAAGAACAGAGCGGCAACAAAAAATCAAAGTGTTGATTTGCAAACTGACTTTCCATATTTCCTATCCTCAAATCCTAAGAGATCACTGCTAATCAGTGAAAACAGCTTTGGATATGCAGTAGTCTCCAAGAAGGAAAAAAAAAAAAAAAAAAAGAGAGAGAGAATAGGAGAGGTTTAATCAGATAAGAAAAAGATCAGCTCCCTTGAAGGCTCATTCATTCTCAACCTTCGCTTCTTGTCATATTTTCTACCAGCAGTGAACCCTGTCAAGTGATATGAAAATCTAACAAAAGCTGTATAATTACAAGGTATATAAAGACATAATTCTTTCTGTAATCAATATCTAAATACATTATCTCTTAGAAACAAACCTATAAATAATTTGCTTCCCAGACTGTAAATTAATTCAGATTAAAGATAAAAGGAGTTTCCTAAATATTTAATTATAACATTTTTCCTTTTGATATCCTTGAAAGAAAACTGTCAGGGATCATATGACAGCTCAGTTAGACTTCAATAACGTTGATACTCATGCAAAAAAAGCAAGAAAGGACTTAGAGACACCATTCAAACAAATATCACTAAATTCCAAAACAATTTCTTAGGCTAATGTATGTCCAGATTTTTGTTTTAATAAAGGGGCAATAGATATCTATAACAGATTAATCCAAGTAAAAGATGCATGTGGTGTGTGGTATGTTATTCATAGTCAAACAGTTAACAACCAATAAGGATTAGCAAATCCTTAAAATATTATATTATTCCTATGTTGACAATGTAATTATCACTATAATGAGTTTCACCTACATTCATCAACAGGTTCTTAACATATTAAAAGGATCAGGATAATCACTTGATTGGCCTAACAATACCTATTGAAAAGAGCAGATTCAGATTAAGGTATTCAGGTATATCAATTAAATTGAAGCTTAGAGTATAATGAACAAATCTGGTCTCCAATTCTGGTGCTGCATTTTACTACAGATGGAATTGAAGGCAATGAAATTAATTTTTACAGCAACTAAAAGACTTGTCCACCTATGTATTTCCTACTTGGTATGACAAATATCTAGCTATTATAAACTCAGTACTGTTTTCCTTTCATTTGAAACACAGAAATAACAATGTAGAATAAACACTATGAAAACTATGACCACTGACAACCATTTCAACATGTAAATGAGAGTTAAATGAAAATCCCTGGGTGATCCCAAAATTTTCATTGTATTTGGCCCTGCATTAAAGCTAGTATCTATAGAACACAATGGTGAGTCAAAAGTATATGCAACAATTGAATAAAGCAGTCAATGAGTTCAATGTTATTTTTTTTACCATAAATGGTATGAAACAGGTGAATAGATCACTGAGCTGTGCCCTCCCAACTAATTTCCTGGGAAGTAGGGGGAGAGGCAGACAGTGTGATGTGACATTTCTCCAGCTTTTCTTATGCTGATGGGAACTCTTGAAAATCTCAACAGACAAGATCACAATTCCTCCATGAATATTTATTATTATACATATTCAATCTCAAAGGTAAAATGCTCTTGTCTAAGAACCTTAACTAAATAA